ACCACCATTACTGACCATTGGACCACCACTGGACTATTGTTACACCACCATTACTGACCATTGGACCACCACTGGACTATTGTTACACCACCATTGCTGACCATTGGACCACCACTGGACCATTGTTACACCACCATTATTGACCATTGCAGTTTCTATGGACAAGTCTAAGGGGAAAAAATTGAGAGAAAGAGGGATGGAAAAGAGGGATGTAGGTGGAATATCAAAAACAGAAATACAAGCAGATTTCTCCTTAATGGGTGGAATGGAGTTTCTAGGTAAAGAACTGTAGGAGAAGAAAGGGCTTGAAAATCATGGGAATAATAAAAAATAAAATTAATACAACTTAAGAATAACAATATACAATTGCTTGTGTGATAACATAATAAAAATATACATAGTGATCGCTGCACTTGCACATAGTAATCACAATTAGGAAAAGTTTATATAGGAAAATATTGCTTAGAATTTTAATATTTGGCTCATGCACCTATAAGCCAAGTAATCTGTTACTGCTTCCCTCTTGTAGAAATTAAAAACCTAAAGGCATTGCTCAGACTGACGTGAACCATGGGCAATAATTTTGGACCTGGTTGGGGTCAGATGTCTGTAGTTTTTGTTCCACTTAATGTTAATAAATAAAAGCTATTGATTACGGTCTTAAATTAAATTAATCTAGATGTACTGGGTTATGACCTGCATAATGCTAATGAAGTGAGAATAAAGTACACAGATCAACATGTCCTGCCTTGCTTCTGACCTAAGACAGCATTTGCTTAGAAATATATTTCATAAATAATGAAGTTCCACAATGCTGAAGGGGGTGGAAATTTACAGAAGATTGATGAATGATGGACAGGCAGGGAGTCACAACTATTTGAAATTTTTTCAGCCCTTTCACCTTCTTCAGCTTCTACATGCTGGTGTCCATGTCAATGAAGGTCAATGACAAAGTGAGGCTCAAGGCACCCCCAAGTGGCCATTTGTGATGAAACAAGAAGAATAAGAATTGCAGAGCAATCTGCTTTGTTAAAATCTACACAAGACTCCTTCCTGTGCAAAACACAAAAACAAAAACCACCTTTCACTCTTTAGGTGGGGAGTGGGGCTTTAAAGGATTATTTGCAAAGAGCATTATTTAAATTACTATTTTTTAGTATTTTACTCATGGTCACAGTGCATACTTTTTGACTGAAGGATAACTAAAACGTGGTACAGCAAAACACGCACATCACACTCCAGTTCAATTAAAGAACATTGCAGGTTTAATTCATTTTCTTTTAATTGTTACATTTTTTTAAACCTCCACCCTGCCCCACAACACACACACATACTGGTTTAGTTTCCCACGCCATCTCCCATGTAGGGTTGCAGTTATGACTAAAACATGTCATTACCTTCAACAAAGCAAATGGGTCAGGAATCAACCAAAGTGAAATTTACTGCCAAAGGTATAACTGTGTGTAAGACAGCAGAGGCTTGAGGTTTGTGGAGACCAAAAACATCCTTCAATTAAGCCAAACAGAGATTGTTTTTCTGTTCGCTCTCATCTAGTTGGGACCTCAGAACAGACCTGTCCGTTGTATTCAAATTGCTGCACTTACATTGTGAGAAGGGGAAGTGCTGGTTTGATAGACCCAGCCACTGGCTCTCCCTCCCTGGGATGTTTCTCTCAGTCATCATGGTGCATAGTGACCCATGGCACTCTGGCCAAAAGGGGAAGCAAATCAACTGGCCGTGAAGTTACACCTTGCTTTTACACACTTGTATGTGGACATAAACATTTGTTATGCCCCTGAAAAAAAAGCAAAGCTGCTTATCAAATGTCCTCTTCAGCTTCAGTTGGTCCTGCCCAGGCCAACAGTGCCCCCCAGAGGAGAATTACCACTGTGCAGCCTAAACATAAACATTAATGTTTATCATTTCCATAAGATCCTAACTGAAACATGTTTGGCACCAGGAAAATCCAACATGCAGATTGTTGCATACAGCTCACTGCTAGCCTTCAACAATCACATCCACACACAGGACAAGAGATCCAACCCAACACAGAGCTGTTCAGCTGAAGTCACACAACGGCTGATTTCAGAACAGTGGTTTGCACACTACATGGGATCTCATGGGCAAAAAAAAAAAAAGTTTTCCCCAAAAGCAAAAATTAACCAAATGAATGAAAAAAATGTTTTACACTCAACATCTGAAACATCGAAGTCATTGACATATCTGATACATTAACCGGAATATTAGGTAATGCTTTTCATTAACTGTAAGATCACAATGCCTTAATAATGCAGTCGTAGAACACTCACTGCACCTTCATAATGCATTCATAGAACATTCACAAGCATCATGTAAGTATACCTTAACTTAGCATAACATCCCTTGACATGGTAAAACATATATTAGTAAACATATAAGCATTATAATCATATAATGGTGCTTATGAATGCTCTATGGATGGATTATGAAGGTGCATTAAAAATTCTATGAATATATAATGAATTCATTATGAAGGTACGGTTAATGTAAAGCGATATCAGATATTACAATACACCGGATCAGGAGAACCCAGCATGGAGGTTTAACTCAGGCGGCATCTAAGATGACAATACAGTCATTTAATTTAAAACCCCCAAACGAGCAACAGGACTATAATGTGATTTATCAGCACTCATTTGACACAGTCTGTCAGTTAATGAAGAGAGACACGAAAGCTGAAGGAGACACTGTTCTGGGTGGCCGCAGACAAGCGGCCCGCGATGGCCCGGGGATGCGGGCCTGGCAGGCCACTGGCACCCGCCTGGCGGCATGGGGTCCCGGACGTGGCCTGAGCGGTGGGACCAGGACAGGAGAGGACAGGTATTTCTGCTGGGTCCCGACGGATTCGGAAAATCAGAGAACAGAGGATGATGGAGCAGGTTCCGGGGAGAAAGACAGAACAAAACAATCGGGACACTATGACAGCGGGCTGCTGTCGCTACAGGATAAGTGCGGATAGAGGAACAGGGAGCCGCCTTGCATGTTGCATGGCCCCTTGGGTTCACCCTCTGCTGATGCGGCATAGTTCGCTCCAGGGCTGTTCCTCTACACCTTCTGTACGGGTATATCATTTTTCAATATAATTCATCTTATAAATGTATAAATACACTGAAACAGTACGCCGAAGTGAAAAGGGCTTCAGAAGGCCTCTGTCCCACTGACATGCTGTCAGTGAATCACCATCTCTCTCAGCAGGATCTCTCTTGCTCTCTCAGTCCATATCCCTAAAGGATCTCATATTTGTCCACCACCAATGCCGTCTCTGAGGAGAACCTGACGGGGCTGTCTCCATCCACCTGAGACACTTTCATGACCTGAAATAAAACAGGAGACGACATTAATGCTAAAAACAGGAAATCTGGCAAACAAAATCAGTCAGTCTAAGGTGACAATGCTACGAGTGCGGGTCACCAATGAGAGATGCAGAAATACAGGCAGCCAACGCCAAGGGAGGGACACCTGCCTGTATGTCACAGAAGGTGCGCTTAGAGACGAAGGAGACTGTGACGGGGAAGAAGTCGCTGGGCCGCCCAGCGACGCTGAATTCCAGGCTGCCAGTTTTATTGTTGCCGTCGACAACAGGCAGACACCACTCCAGCATGTTGCGCCGACTGTCGTGCCGGTACTCGCCGTCCAAGTCCCCGATCACAGGTGCTCCCACTCCTGACCTGCGGGGGGCAAACCGCAAACGAAACATTTGACATTCTTACACACACAGGCAGCAGAGAAGCCCTATGTGGACTTAGCTGGGAGATTCTAACAGGCAGTTTACTCACGGGACAGGGATGGTGATGACGACGTCGTTGAGTTCAAACCCATCCTCCTGCAGCTCGTATTCAATGTTCACGTCACAGCCATCGCCAGTCTCGGAAGGCCAGCAGTTTACTGGAGAGACATGAGAGAGACAATAACCTGGAGGAGACGGGAAGACCAGCCTGGCCAGTGTTACCGTGTGCTCTGCTGCTAATCAATCACAGTCTTATTTTAAGAGTAATTCATTTAGAATTTACCAGCTTAGGAGAGATAAGTACAGGGCCTGTTAGGAAGACTCATATTTACATCTAGCTGGGCTGAAAAGCTTCCAGAGGCTTTAAGTTCAAGCTAAAGTATAAATGGACCAAACACTCCACAGATAAGTACTGGTGAAGGATTAACATGGAAGCTGCATTTCATTAACTCGGACAGTGTCTTTAGTCTTTAATCTACTCAGCAGGCATGTAAGTCAGCCCTGCCAAAGGCAGTGCGAGCAGGGCTGCGATCCAGGACGCAACGGGCAGGGGGGCACGCACTGGTGAGTGGCACCAGCGCCGCCTCTGCGCTCTGCAGCCTCCACTTCAGCACCCCCACGTCACTGTTCAGCGGAAACGACTTTTCTGGATTCTTCAGGCCGATCAGCGAGTCTGCCGTGAAGAGCTTCTTGTCCACATTGGGGTGGGTCTGTCAGTGGAGGGAGTTTGGCTTTAGATCAAACCACCGAAAGTGTAAAGGAGCTTAACTCGTGCAGGAGTGTCAGGCCGGGCGGGTGACCCCTGGGGCTGGTTGCACAAAACACCTTAAGTTTTCCCCTTAAGTATGACACTTAAGGTTAATTTCTCCTCTACTAAGGGACTTATTGAAGGGTGTTGCACAGAACCCCTTAAAAGGTTTCCTTAGTTAAGGAAAAACATTAAGGGATTTGCAACATTGAAAGACGTTTTACAGCAGTAAAATTGTCCCATTTCCATGGAGACCGTTCATATGCTTGCACTCGCGTCTGCTTGTGATACCTGTTATCACCTCACAAAGTTACTCACAAAGTAAAAAAAAAAAAATGGGAGAAAAGAAGACATGAAAGCCAAAATGGTCAGAGGAGGAAAAGATTATACTTTGAGGAATACAATAAAAGAAAGGACATACTAAAATGTAAATCTGATCCGCAAACAGAAAACAATGAATGTGGGAGGAAATTGCAATGAAAATTAATCCAAGAACTTATTTGTTCTGGCCAAAAAAAAAAAAAGATCACTAGTTACAGGAGAGAATGTGACAAAACTACTAAGATAACGTCAACTGGTAAGAGTTAACTTACAACTTCAGATAGGTTAAATAACTAACATGACTTGAGGGAATCGTTAACGTTAGTCTATGTTGCTGACAGTGAAATAGATCTATGTACATAAGTTGCTCATCATCTTTCAACAAGTTATTACACATTAAAGTATTTAAGGTATAGATATAAAGTAGACTAACATGGGTAACGTTATAGGCTATGCATTGACACAGGCTTAACATTGACACACGTTTAGACTGCAACCTAATGTGCTAGAAAATAAATTCGGTGAATGACGCGGCACACCGCTGACTTGTGGACATAAAATACATTATTACAGCCCGGAATGAGCCCGTAGCATAAAACCGCAGAGCGATCATTAATTGCAACGCAGCTGGAAGAGCACGGCTTCGGAATGTGGAGTGATCCAACTGTAGACGGTCAGACAAATCATAAATTGACTCCCGGTCAAATTTCTAAAGCAAAATCAATTGCTCATCATTAAGCGTAATCTAAGGGGTTCTCACAGTTGCGGAAAACTTTTTGGGACGCCTTCATTTTCATTATTTATTATCATAAACTCGGCCATGTTGCAGTTAAGGTACGGTTAGAGGTACCTTAATTTTTTTCCCCTTAGTTTGGTTGCTAAGGTCTTTTGTGCAACCGTTAAGGGATTCCTTAAGTATAAGACCAAGATAAGGAGAAAAACTTAAATACTTAATACTTAAAAATTTTAATTTTAAGGAAACCTTAAGGACGACTTAAGGGTGTTTTGTGCAACCGACTATTTTAAGGAGACCTTAACTCGGACTTTAAGGAAAATCTTAACTTATGGTGTTTTGTGCAACCGGCCCCTGGTCTTTATACTGTCCCCTTTTTAATAACAGGAGCTGTCCAATGAGGCGGACCTTCATTTCCATGGTAGGGCTATAACCCACCTGTAGCTGAACCCCCTTCTTGTCATTGTTGATGACATGAAGCCGGATTCGCCCATTCTTCTCATCTGACACCCTGAGGGTCACCATACCCAGGACCTCCATATTCTGTAGGCCGCCATCCCGCCCGCAGGTAAGGGATATCTTCTCCTCGACCTTCAGGTGCACACTGGGGACGTGCCACAACACAAGAACACACACATGGGAAGGTGGCAGAAAGGACCTGCTTCTGGCCAGTAGTGTGGTAACTCATGCATAAAGACCAAGCAGGGGAAGTTAGAGTAAGGCCACAGAGTAGCACGGAAGCCACAAACTGCTACAGGAGTTCGGCACCTTCAGACAACAGCAAGTAAAACAGCTTGTTTCAGGCCAGAATATTTACCAATATCAGGAACAAGACCACAAAGAGAACACATGGTAGATTACGACACCACAAACCGTACCCCATCGGCCATAAAAGACTGTCCTCCATACCTCTCTACATTAACAGGGGGCGCCAGGGCCTTAGACGCCTCTGGTCTCTTCCCAGTGCTGGGCAGGATGATGTTCTCGCCCTCCAGTTTCAGTTTGTCCACAAAGTTGTCCACCTCCTTGCCCTTGGCACCCAGCTTCAGAGCCTTACTTGGGCCACTTGGCCTGTGGGAGGAAACATTCAGGGGAATAAGCGGCAGGTGGCGCCGTGGTTAACAAACACAGCTAAAGTACAGAAATGCAGTTAATACTGAAATATTTTCAAACCCTGTGAACTGCATAACTGTAAATAAAATTAAAGAAACTATAGAAAACCAAATTTAAGAGACAGGCAGAGCAGCAAAGAGCCACACACAGCTTATACCTGATGGGAGCAGGCACCACCTTAGGCTTTTCCGGCTCTACAAGCGTGTCCGAAATGATGGACGTGGAGCCTCCGCTCACACCGGAGCTGCCAAAGCCACCGAAGCCGGGAGCCTTCTTTCCGGAACGTTCTGCATCGCGACGGGCTTGCTGCAGCTCTTTGGCCTTCCGTCGCATTTCAGCTTTCGCCTCACGCTCCTGGGTCTGAGATATAATGCCGAGGGGTGCGGATGACTACAATGCAGGTTCTCAGCCTCACTCACATGTGTGTCGGCCTGAGGGCGGTCCTCACCTCTCTGACGGCTCGGAAGACCTTCTCCTCATGCGAGTCCATCTCGGTGAATGTGCGGATCTGGGCCAGGTTGACGTTCTCCCGGTAACCCAGTGCAACAATCTCATCAAAGGCGAAGATGAGGTCAAAGCAGTGCTCGGAGATCTCGCTCTCCTCCAACACTCGGCAGTACTCCGGAATCTGTAACGGCGGATTCACAGAGACCTTTGCACTGATCCGATCACATCCCACACGGTAAGAACTCAGCCTGAATAATACAACTAAGACCTCACTTAACTCTGCACTCAAACCAGAACCACACTTCAAATCCCAACCCGATAACTGCACCCCAAATCTCCACCTCCATTCAAACAGTTTATATGCATTTTACACACGTCATGCACACAAAGAAAAAAAATCCATTTAACTTCCACTCTTAGTGATAACTGTCTTATCAATCTCCATTATAAAACTGACAACTAAAGTCAGCTTGCCATGGTGACTGATGGATTACAGTCATACCACTCTAGAGAAGAGTCTTAGGGTCTCCAAGTCTTCCAGAATGTTGCTGTTTTTGGTGGTAATGAGCACCATGTAGAGCTTCTCCAGCGGCTGGTAGACGTAGCGCACGCTCTCGGTTTCCACGAAGGTGTGCTGCTTGCCCGTGTTCATCAGCTTGGGGAAGGCGGCCAGCAAACCCTCGATGCGCGTCCGAGTCATCTCCACGAACTGGCGCGACACGATGGCTTTACCGGCCTTGGTGCACACCGCTGCGGCCAGAAGTACCTGCGGACATCAGGAAGCTAATCACTAGGACAGCCATGCTGCTACAGCGGGACCTAAGCAAGTTTCACTCGGATTGAATTCAAAGGCACAACAACCGGAATAGTTTCCGTTCCTACAAGATAGCAGCAAGTGAAAGGAACCATAACAACCACTACTGCACATCAAACACCACGAATTAACTTCTGCAGCTTAACGCCTTTAATGGATTCGCACATTATTCTGACACGAAAGCATTAGCATTGACAAGGGGGCCAGCTACGGCAGATGCTAGCTCCGCTATTTTTAACGACTTTCTAGGCAGTTCCCAGTTCGCTATCACTCACCATTTTGGTCTCCTTTGGAGTTTTGCGTGTTTAAGTCGCCGGCTGGCTCGCTTTCGTCGGCGATTGAGTCCTTTTTGACCGTATATACCGTGAGATGATCGGTGAATCGTTCCCTTATCCGCCGCCGTCCTCCTACAGCTTCAATATGGCAGCGGCGTAAAGCCACGTCTCCAACCGGAAAAGCCGTCAGCAGCGGAGCAAGCAGGAGATGGGAGGCGGGGCTGAGCGCACAGAGAACAATAAAGCGAACGAACAATGGGGAAAAGGAAAAGAAAAAGAAAAAAAAGTGCTGTAAGCCACAGGTTTATCATGCGCGTCCATCAGCTGCAGCATAAGCGCACTCGAAATCAGAATATCCAGGTGACTATGTCTAGCTACAAAACAATTGCAAAAAATAAAGGTTTGGGTGTTGGGTGTAACTGGTGTCCCTACTTTCCAAAGTGGAAGGACTCATAGTAACAAGCGGACTTAGCATGATTGAAGGTCTCAGGTTCCAATCCCAGGAGGGTCAGCTGTACTTATACCTTCAAGGCAACTAACACCGATTTTTCCAGTAAACTATCCGGGTTTATATGAGTTGAAATGTAAAACTGCATTTACTAAATAAAACTACGTATGAGACCAACCTGGGTGGTTTTACAGTCAAATAATGCCCTCGTATGCAATATTACAATAAAATGATTGTTTTGAGTATCGTATAATAGTTTAACCCATTACCTAAACCTTACAGAATCGACTCTGAATAAGCATTTAGATTTAACATACAATCGGGCAGTAGTTTCATAAGGCTGATTAACAGCGTACTGAAACGTAAACTTACTGAAAACACTCATTCGTTAACATCTACATCCTCGCATGCGCAGATTGCTTTTCCTTGCAAGTTAACGGAAGTGACTGTGTGGAGGTCGGTGGTACGCTCATTCGGCTGCTCCGTCCTCCATACGCATAAAGAAGATGAATTAACCATCATCTGTTCATGGCACACAGGCCCGGATCGTCTCAATTATATAGAACAGCTTTCCTGTTTTATTGCTATCCCTTTGAAAACGCGCTGACATGTCAGAAGACGGGAATACGAAGGTGGGTCCGCTGTGGGCGCCTCGTAACATTTGAACTGTCGCCTAGAACTGGTCCAAGGCCTGATTGGCTTTTTTTCAAGTCAATCTTTATTGGCCGGTGCTACGATTCGTGTAGAGAGACATGTGGGCGGATAATAAGGTCAGATCTTGGAAACTTGGAAATCTCAGCCTGCTCGGCAGGTGTGATGTGCGCTATGTTACATTCATAACTGATATATGCGCCTACCTTTTGTATTCTTAACCAACGTAAAATACGCACATATGTATATAGTTATATATATATATATATATATATATACACACAATTATATATTATTATATACAATTATAAATATACAATTATGTTCTGCACGTATGTGTAATTATGCGTTCTCTGCAAATCGGATTATTTTACCCCGTTCTTTGAATGGCGGGAATGGAAACCAGTCAAACCCAGCCTCCTTACATTTAAGCATTTCTATTCATTTAGCGCATCGTTCAGATATGTTTATTATTGATTCTGAATGTAGAACTTTAAAGTCTTTGTGAAAAAATGTGGAAGGCACATACTTGATATAAAGGTATGCGTGCAATAAGTAAATTCTGGTGTAACCCACATATCGCTGTTTTTCAAATCCTGCTATCACGCACTTGAGCAAGGTTCTTACCCCGAACTTTTTTCAGCAAAACGTCAAGCTGTAGGCCTATACGATGAGTTTGAGTAAATGATAGTAAAGCTATAAATATTCAGATTGATAACAGAAGGATGTTATGCTAAATTACAGTTTAATCAGTAGAAATAACAAGGCGAAGTCCATTATTGACTTAAACCCTCGAGGAGCCTACCAATCAGAAGGGACTCTCGGGAGTTACCACGGTTAATAGGTGATTAAAATGTTTGGGCTATACTGTAGTATTTTGTCAAAATTAATTACTGTTATTGTAAGATGATATATAAAAGATTAGAAGAAATACTTTAATGATCTGCAAAAATATTAGGCCTGTTATTGGAGGGCAGCAGCTATTGAAAATAAGGGTTTTTCGTCTAAGGTTTTTTTTTTTTTTTTTTTTTTACCAAACTCTGTTGCTGAGATTAGCAGTTAAACCTCAGTGTTAATAAACGTATCTTAAAGAAATATTTTAACACGTGTTACGATACCGCTTGAGCTTTCTCATATCTGGATTTTGGACACACAGGTATGTGTAGCAAACAAATATAAATGAGATTATTATGGGAAGTTATCCACCGCCAGCACAGGCTCCCAGACCCCATAGCGAGGTAAAAACTGCCCCACCCGGACCTCCCCAACGGAATCGGCAACTCCTTACTTATCAGCTGGGGCCAGCAAAACGGCGGGGGAGGCTGTGATGAGGCTTAAAAAGCTGTATTTTAGCGAAGCATCCAGAGCAGTCTGTAGACACATATAGTGACAGTTGCAACCTAGCAAAGAGCAAAACGGTTGCTGAAATGCCGAGTAACCTACAGGGAACAATGGAAGACGGACCATATAAGTACATAAGGGTAAGACTCTCAGTTGAATGTGTTTGTTAGGCCTATTGTATTCTTATACTTTATAACTTTGTTATAAGAATATTCTCTCATACCTAATGTACACCAGACTTGTGTGGGTAGCTCAAGTATAGCTATGTACAACATAGCGAATTGCAGATTGAGCGTAGTGTGTCTGTCAGGGGGAGAGCAGGGGGCCTATGTTTCTGAAATATTATTTCATCTTTACAGGAGGGGAATGGAAAAGTCAGTCGTATCATTCGGATCGGAACCCGAAAGAGTCAGGTTGGTGTCAATTTAATATGAAACCGAAAGTAGAACAAATTCTATTTTGAATTGCATTGGTTGGTAACGGATTGTAGTATGCACGGAATTTGGCTATTGATTTGAAATGACCTAAAATGTAGGGTAATTTTTCTTAAATTTGAAGGAAACTTTGCTGTAGGCCTAAGTTTGTATAGTCGGAATTTTTATTATTTCACTTTTCTGTAGTTTAGTAATTAATGTTCAGCGTTTTCTTTAACTGTGAATGGCGACCATATATTTGATATTTACGTTTATTATATTTACTTTTTCCGAAAATACTTCTGATTGTTCTTTGAAACCGGAACGCATTTTCCTTGGTTGGTGAATTTGCTGTATTTGCCTATATAAATTACGAAGAGTGTAGGTTTTCCAGCAAGGCGCGGTGGAGCCCAGGCGATCCCCGATCAGATAAGGGTTTGGGCGCTGGGCAGCAGCTCTCGCCTCAGCGCAGCTAGATCAAACGTTGCTTTCTGTAGGCTACCTGTGCGTGTTGCCTCATACTTTGCTGAATGGCAAAGCTTTCGGTTCCTCCTGATATTTTGCTCATCTTGCAGTTTTATTAAGAAAATACGAAATAGTGATCGAACTGTTTTGCACGATTAATTAAATCTGTGATATACATAAAGTTTGACTTTTAATTACGTTAATAGCATTTCAAAATATGCAAGCATGTGATAAAATGAAATAGCGTGTGTCCGAGACTTTAAAACCGACTTTACAACATGACACACACGACAGTAATGAATGAATGAATAAATACATAGGCCTATAGCTTAAAAATACAGAAATCTCTTGTGATCTGTTCCAAATTTGGTTCTTCTTCCCCCAAACTGAGTGTTTTTGTGTCCTTGGCAATATGCGGTAGCTTGCTCGGATCCAGACCGACAGCGTGGCGGACAGGCTGAGGAAGCTTTACCCTGATGTCCACCTCGAAGTCGGTAAGAGACGCAGAATTCTGGGCGCAACTCAGAAAGGAACCAGCAGGCCGAGAAATGGGGGAAATGTGATTGATGTTTCAATAGTGAAATAACTGCTGAGCTGGCTCATCAGTGATGTTTCTGCTGTTGGACCGAGGGAACACCTCCTTTTCTGTCTCATGCCATAGGATGAGGTGTTTCAGAAGGGGGGGTTGGTGCTAAGCCCACTATAGAGCCCCCAGCCTTTGTGTGTGTAACTGATGAAGGACACCCCCTTCCAACTAAAGACTAAAGCCTCTTCGTTTACATTTACACATCAGGTTGTCTCCATCAGAGTGGGAGATTAATTAGTTGGTTTTAGAAGTTGGATGTGTTTAAATGTAAGTTTAGGCCTAGATTTTTTTTTTTAATGTGGTATTTTCTTTTCTTTCTAGTTGCCATGTCAACAACTGGAGATAAAATCTTGGACACAGCATTATCAAAAGTGAGTGTCTGTTTCCAAGTCCTGCTGAATTATAACTGAACCATGCTTACTGTAGTATGCTTCTCATATATTGGTATTTGAGGGAAATGTGGTGTTTATGTTCTGCATTAAAAGCATCATTTAGGACAGTGTTGGCCACATGTGCTTCATTTATTGATGGGAGCATTTGTTTGTGATGTGCATGTTTTAGATTGGAGAAAAGAGTCTTTTCACGAAAGAGCTAGAATACGCTCTGGAGAAGAATGAGTAAGTATTCAGTCATCTTCACTATTATTTTACATATACAGCTCTGGAATAAATTAAGAGACCACTATATTTAAAAAAAAATCTGCATTGTTTAATCATGGTTCTGCTGGCAGAAGGCTGCACTGTAAGGCAGGCTGCTTCCAGGCTCTATGTTTCTAAGACAGCAGTACACAAGAACAAAGTGAAGCAGGAGATGCTGGCAATGACCAAAAACCAGACAGGTAGAGGGCAGGAGCATCTTTCTAATGCCCGAGATGACCCTCGACTTATCCTCATAAGTCAGAGGATAACCTCAAATGACCTTCAAAGAGAATGGGAAGCATTTAGTGGTGTGAAGTGCACTGCTACAATAGTTAGGACAGCTAGGACTCTTAGAAGCCATTAAAGATCCATAAAGCCAAGAAGAAGCCCTTCATCAATGAGAAGCAGGGAAGAGCCTGGCTGCAGTTTGTTTATTTTACACAGATGCATTCCCATAAACTGAGAAATAAGTGAAACTAAAAATGTTGCTGTGTCTCTTAAAATTTCCCAGAGCTAAATATACACAGAGCCGTCTCACTTAATGACCTACCTGTCTAACAACCGCCCAGATTTATGACCAGCTCTCCAACCAGTCGGTATTGTACACTGCGTGAGAACTTTGGTGGTGTCAAGCTTCCCATCTCGCGTCACCATTTCTCAGTCTCGTTCCTGCAATCGTTCAGTATTCACTACAATAGCGTTCACAATCTCGTAGACTACAAATGTGTCTGATACATATTTTTTGAAAATAAAGGGATAAAGTAATAATTTTTGTTATAAAACCAATTAGGGATGTGCACAAGTACTCGATTAATCGATTACTCGAACCCATCAGCGAGCATGAAAATGATGATCGATTGGCTCTAAAAATGCATTTTTTAAAATTAAACTACTTTCATTCTTTCTGATTGGTTATGCTGGTATTTGGGCGGTAGTCTGATATTTGATTGGTTACGGCTGTGAGAAGTTGCGGTCTAGAGACAGGACCGGAGCACAGAACGAAAATGGCTTCTAAAGCGCGCAGCGATGTCTGGCAACACTTTGAAAAACTTGACGAAAAAACAGTCAAGTGTAAGATGTGCAGCGCCACAGTCGTCTACAACTCCACAACGAGTTCGATGCGTTATCATCTTGCACATAAACACAAAAAAGCAGATGATGCCGATGCCACTACCAGCAGTCAGACGAGCATAAGAGATTTCACCATCAGACAGAAATGCGACAAAGGCCGGGCAGAGAAGACGACGCAGTAATAGCAGAAATGACAGCAGAAGACTTGCTGCCTATTAGTTTTGTTGAAGGTGAAGGTTTTAAACGTCTAATGAATTAAGTTGAGCCCCACTATACTGTCCCATCGCGCAAAACGGTCACTGCAAGGATTACGGGGCTTCAGTTGCCGTTGTTTTAAAGTAACGGGAGAAGCGCATCCACTACTTTATGATTGGCACGTAGTTCAAGCTCACATATATTTTGTGTAGATAAATACAATTTGTAATATAACATTTGCACATTTATGTATCTAGGCTATGTGATTAATTTTATATACAATGCGTCATGTAGAAAAAGCGCTTCAGCTTCACCTCATGCTGTTACTTCTTTTAAATGTTTACTGTATACTGTGACGCAAACGCACTGCCCCTTGCTTAAACTCCACCCCCGATTAATCGAGTACTCGTTTCTCTGTGGATTACTCGAAATGAAATATGATCAAAAATGCCCATCCCTAAAACCAATAAATTTCCAGTATTTTTACAGAATCAAGCAAGCGCCCCAAGACTTTTTGTGAGCGCTGTATTACGATCATAATCTAGGCCTATAAATATTAGTATCCTATAATAGGGGGAGGGGAGGTCATAAATTGTTACTTGGTTTATTTTGTTTTAAAACATTGATAAATGTGAAGGGGTGACTGTACATATCCTTGAAAGGTTTTTGGATGAAGTGGCTGATGTTGGCTCTATGTGCCCCCTACAGGGTAGACCTGGTAGTGCACTCTCTGAAGGACCTGCCCACTGTGCTGCCGCTGGGATTCACCATAGGAGCTGTGCTGGAGTGAGTGTTCAGGCCAAGTAGCTGCTGTGCTAAGCCTCAGAGCAGCTTTTGCCCCCTTATAGAACCTTCAGACAGCTTCCTGCCTTCACACACCATCAGCTGTTTGTATTTTCTTACACTAGCTTAACTGAAACGGGCCACTGTGCCATGTGTAAGACAGACCAGAGAACGCTGCTTTCCCTGCAGGCTTTAACCTAGAATGATTGGATGGATGCGTGTGACTGGACACCCTTGATATAAATTAAGATGTTAGAATCAGGCTGTTTATTTTACATTTGACAATAGCTTTGAGACCTGAAGACATTACTGCATGCATGCATACTTTTTTGTTGTCTTTTTCTGTAGAAGGGAAATCCCTTATGATGCGGTGGTGTTGCATCCGAAAAACGCAGGGAAGTCCCTCGACACTCTACCAGACAGGAGGTTTGTCAACTTACTCCTGGAGGACTAATGGGGTCTGTTGTCCACTTCTGCAGTCCCCAGTGAAGTAGTGGGCCTCCACACTATCAGCCCTTTTGTCGTTAGTTGGCTGGAGAGGTAGAGCTAACTGGCTTTGCTCCACTGAAGGGTGAGAGTGATTCGGGCAGCGCCTGTGAGCCAGTGACTGACACCGTAGCTCCTCCAGTCAGCACACAGCCCTCCCACTCACAGTACGTGTATTGGCTGTAAATGGGAGAAGCACAGTCAGCTGCTAAAGAAAAACGGGACATTTTAAGTGGTCGTCTGTAATGAAACATAAGATACAAGTTCTACAACCGTGTATCTCCATGGCTGTTTAATAGGAAAGAACAGGAGTGGCGAGTTATGCCCAGCCCTTCTTCAGTAGGTAACCATGGCATTTTTACAGCGTCGTCGGGACCAGTTCACTTCGCCGAGCAGCCCAGCTGAAGAAAAGGTTCCCCCAGCTGGAGTTCAAGGACATTGTATCTTTTCAATGCCATTGTATCTTTTCCAGGGGTCTGTCCCTCCCCTGAACACTTAAAACTTTAGCTTGACATCCTCCAAGTGCCAGGTGCATTTAACATTGTTATGATATGATCCTTATTTGGGTCTGCTTGGTCCCCATGTATTCATCAAGGTACTGGTTTTTCAGAGTGCAGATGAGCCCAGTTGATGCCCTCAGTACATTTTTATGTCAGTCTAAATAGCCTGTTGGGGAATGAGGGCATCCGTTCAGTATCAGAGATGATTTTAATCACCCTACCTGCATGGAGTGGAGCTGCATGAATGTTGTCGTCATTCCTGATCAGTCTTTCAGCGGGGCAACCTCAACACTCGCCTGAAGAAGCTGGACGAGACAGACAACTTTTCTGCCATCATCCTGGCTGCGGCTGGCCTCAATCGCATGGGCTGGGACAATCGGATTGGTCAGGTGTTTCCACACGTTCTCAGCTCAGACACTCGTTACATACATTGTGCTGGTAGGTTATGGCAAAGCTCTCAAAAATGCCAAGAAATCCTCTCACACAAAGACACTCTTTGCTGTCATCCCTTAGATCCTAGACCCAAAGGACTGCATGTATGCTGTTGGACAGGTGGGCACACTATATGCTTTACTGATTGGACAGTGGAACTCCTGGCCTTGTGCATTATGGGTATCATGACATGCAACTTGGACCACAGGGTGCGCTGGCAGTGGAGGTGAGAGCCAAGGATAAGGACATCCTGGAGATGGTTTCTGTACTGCATCACTCTGAGACCGTGCTGCGCTGCATAGCTGAGAGGGCCTTCCTCCGACATCTGGCAAGTCGTCTTCTGCCTTCTAGTGCTTAAGATGCCCAGCAGGGGGCATCAGATGGCTGAGTCAGCCAAGCAGTTAAATTCAGCGAGGCCTGCAGACTGTAAGTGGGTGTTGTGTGAATTGGCAGAGCTGTATGGGACATGGAGTCTGCAGATTCCACCCACAGTCCACTGCTGTCACGCAGTTTTTAGACAGGGGTCTATGCAGGGGCGCATTAATACATAGGCTACCTTAAGCTATAGGCTACAGCCCTGGTCCTGGGGCTGGTCCTCTGGAAAAATTAACAGTTGGTTAAATCGGTAACACTTGAGTGTCCATGCTGACGTCAGCCTAGTAATACCAAAACCAAGTAGATGCAGTCCCATGCTCACACTCTGACACTCTCTCTCTCTCAGGAAGGTGGCTGCAGTGTGCCGGTGGCTGTCCACACAGAAGTGACAGACTCACAGGTAGCAAGAGCCTCACTTATACTCTGTCTGCATGTTACACTGCATGGTCCTTTGTGTGTGACACAGGTGCAATATTAGCAGATGTGGTGTCACTGTTGTGAAATGCAATGTGTTTCATGGTTTCAGTTGTACCTGACTGGGGCAGTCTACAGTCTGGACGGTTCCCAAAGTTTGAAGGAGACCATGCAGACTAGCGTCATCCCAGGTGATCAGGTCAGTCTGTAGTGTGGGATGGGGCGGGATTTAAGAAATGGCTGGTCTATATTAAAATAAAAAATCTGGCTAAAGACATGAGTGGACTGAGGTCTGTACTCCTCCTTGTCAGGTGGAGAGAGGTGTGGACAATGAGGCCCAGCGTGTGGGGGTGACGGCCAGCAACCTCCCCGGATCCCCCCAGGATGCTGCCGAGAGATTAGGTGTGGATCTGGCCCAGCTGCTGCTCAACAAGGGTGCCAAGGAGATCCTGACAGTGGCAAGACAACTCAATGAGGCCTGCTAATCCCCTCAACCCATTCCAGACAGACACCAGAGTCCAGGTGGAACCAGACGCTCTCCGAGAAACAAGCACATACACACAACCTCCAGAAGGCCCCTTTTAAACCTCACCACATCTTCTACTAATTGTAAAATCCTAATAGTCTTTCAAAGAATTCACATTATATTTTTAATAATTATGCGGAATTAAAGGGCAACATATTTAAATGGCAAATGTCTAAAAAATGCAGATCCAACCAATGAAGTAATACCCAGAGACAGCATGTGTCAGCTAGTCGACGGCTGTTCTTATAAAGACCCCCCACTTTACCACATCCATCCTATCAGTATTCAGCTCACTGTGTCTGCGCTGATAAATAAGGTTGTTTGCTCTTTCACCCACACACACCATTTCAGAATGAATAACCTAAATATCAGTACAGTTTATTTTCATATAATATAATTAAGAAGGGAAAGTAAATGTCCACCGGTGAAATTATTTCCCAAAGAGGTGCTGTTTCTATTCATAGAAAGTGCTTTCTTATGTATAGACTGGCTAATTAGACTCCATCTTAATATGTTCATGAAACACTGTGTGTTTTAAAAGACCCATTACACTCCTGTATACCAGCTCATCAGCACTACTAGAATGCTTACTGTGTTCCCAATTTCCCTTCCTTAGCATGTCACAGCTTACCATATAACGTATTTACCAAAGGCCGACTTGCTGCTACTGCGAACACACAGGGTAAAAGACTACACACTGAATGTGCATTGGATTACATCAACTGTGTTGTGTTTAGATGACAAATGTGCTTAATATGGGTTTGTAAAAGCTCAGTGTCTTTGAGCGTCTGTACTTATGTGCCTTATGTGTCTGTGTAATGGGTAATAAAAATGACTAGTACATCGGGAAAGACACTGATTTTTAAGGCCTACAACTGCCTTCAGAAAGATGCATGTATTAGATAAATACCTTATCAAAAACAAAATCGTTTGCTGTAAAAAAAAAAAAAAAAAAAAAACCCAAAAGGGTAGACTTGTGAAAGTGTCTAGGGATCCTGCTCTGCTGAATGTAAGTGAGGATTCTGATGGTTTACAATCATTCACATGTACAGTGGCATGATCCCAAATGCTAATGATGCAGAACATGGGCTGTGTTCATAAATTAAAGCTAGAATCAATCATACTAAACCCCAAGGTTAAATGAAAAAGTTCATCCACTACAAGAACATCACGGTGACGTAGTTTTATCACACTGACTAATTTTATTTCGAGTTCACATATATACATATATATATATCACATAATCTGGGCCAGACCATCACCATTGTGATGCATCCTCTTTTGATTAATATTGTGTGATTAAATAAAAATGGCAGTTAAATGACAGTTTTCAAGAATAAGTAACTCCGCCAGAGTGTCTCTTTGGGGTCACTTTTGCCGGTCCCAAGCCCGGATATAGGAGGAGGGTTGATATTGTGATATAAAAAAAACAAGAATCGTCAGATGAAAGTTCATTTGTAGTTCTCAACGTATTTAGGGTGTTTTTAACCACCTTTTGTCTCTCCCGCGACATTATTCCTCTCTCCTACAACGTCCATTATAATTACATGCACATTGTGCAAAATAGGCGATGGCGTCATTTAGCGACTTTTGGGACAACCAATAGCGACTTTCCTTGCTGAGGAGTTTGCAACAATGCCAAGAAGCAATGTATCGGGTAGCGACAAATTAACCGGACTTTAGATGACGGGTGTTAAAATCTGTCTGGACGCCAGCTTTTCCTTATCTTTAATGAACGTGTCAGACTTTAAACTGCAAAAAACTTCCGGTACACCACCAACGTCTTTTTTTACTTTGTTTATCCAAAACTTAAACATGGCGGTAAAGTGGTTACCTTGATCTACGGCAGAAGGCACGGTGTTTGCTGTAAATTTGGGATCATGAGACCATCTAGGAACTGAATGCGACACACACAACTGTCCTATTTGGTAAAAACTTCTTATACATGGAGCACAGTTAAATTAATATCACTGCGTTGTATACTCACGCCGAAAACTAGTTTAAATATGCCACAAAATAACATTAACAGAAACTGCATCGTGCTATGCGGTAGCGCTTTTCCCCTGTTTTCTGCAACACAAAAAGTCGCACGGTGATGACGAAAAAGTGGCCGGCCCTGGAACGTTAAGCTCATTATATGAGCCCAGAAAGCTGGGTAGAGGCACGGTTCATGACAACCAGGCCAAGTGTGAGTAAACAGAAGTGTTGCTTGTGAAGCCGACTTTCTTAAAACGGAGCATGAATGAACTTGCCTGTCCTCATTAAGTAGTTGTAAAGTAGGTCAGTCAATAAATAGACTTAGTTTACCCCTCCCTGTGGACCCACATGTTTTAAAAATGTAGGTTGTACTCTTTATTAATAAATGTTGTCTGGGCGGTAATTAAGACATTTCATTGGCTAAGCATGGAAGCAGGCTTCAAGCTAACCTCTTTAGCAATTGCATCATACCCAGATTGTGTTGTACTAAAAAGGGGTTTCATCAGTTTTCCATATTATTCTGATTCTCTTTTTGCCCAAGAAAATATCCCTGAAGATTCCATGCACAAACATGTGTTGAACTCAATGAGAAAATAACAAGCAACAATCAACTGGAAGTTTTAATCTTTTTTACAAGGAAACTGTTTGAAATGAAAAGTTTATATCTGCACAATACATGCTATACAGTTTCAGGTTTAGTGTAATGTAAAAAATAAGCAATCACAAGTAACTTTCAGGAAAAAAAAAAAATATATATATATATATATATATTAAATATATTAAACAGAAGCCCCCCCCCCCAACAAAAAAAAAAGTAATAAACGTTGTTTTCACAATAAAGAAGACCTATTACTTCAGATTAGCTGCCCCAGAACACATAACTCACTGTAATTATGGCTGCTGGTGCTGCTGTACATGCCAGCCTGATCTGATATGCTTGTCCATTAATTTAATGTTCTTATCAACCATTATGGGGGTCAGGCAGCCAGTTGTCCTTGGATCCTAAGAGGTTTTTTTCCCCTTACTTGGGAGTTGTTGGTGCCTCTTCTCTGTTATCTGGCTTTCTTTCATTTCTTTGTCTTCCCATTTCCTTGTTTTTAATTTTTCTGTGGAAATCCTGCAGGAATGTATCACAGTACACCCATGTAAAGCGCCCTGAGGTGACACTGTTCTGAAAGGTGCTATATAAAAATAAATTGAATTGAAGAAAGATTTTGTCCAGCAGACTGAATCAATACATATCTTATGTCCAGTATTTTCAAACCAACACTGTCAAAAACATTGCCATCCCTAGCAAAAGCAGAAGTTCACAGGTAATATAACATTCAATTTACATAGATACAAAAATGTTTATTTCTTAGATAGAGTATATCTGCCCCATGTTAACCTTGCTGACATTTAATTTAAATCTAGTCATCTATAAAATCCCTAGTGACCAAGAATCATCCTGGTCTTCTGAAGGTAGCCTGTAGATTATGCCCTGATATTGGTAAGCTGAAGTCGCATTAATCGCTTTCCATCATTGACTAGTCTGAAGGCTGTCCGTCATTTTTACAGATTAGCACCCAGAAGGCGATCTACCGTTGCTTTAAGTAATTTGCACCCCTGTGCAGTTGGCGACGAGTCTCCACCAAGTCTCTTAATTTGCTATTCTCTAATCTTGTCTTTGATCTCATGTGCATGACCACATTGACTTATACAGATAAACTTACTGAATGGTTGACAACAAGCACCAGCAAGAGGGTGCAGCTGCAGATGCCTGTAGAGTGGAGCTACACCCGAAATCCGTCACCTCCACAGGAAACACGTGATCTTTAAGGACGTAAAGGTTAAGGTTTATTCGCTGTAACACAGAGTTGAGGTCACGTGTTTCCTGTGGAGGTGACGTATTTCTGGTGGAGCTCCACTATACAGGCATCTGCAGCTGGACCCTTCTCAGCACCAGCGCTAATTTGGAAGTTACATGGAAGTGCAGGGAAAAGCGATTGAAGCAAAAATTGAGCAGATGGCATTATTGCTGTACCTCAGATACTTTAACGCATTAATCAATACCATTTTCCTTGCATCTCCATAATTCTGCATTAGAAAAGTTGATCTATATAGCCCATATACCTTTGTCTAATATTGTCGGGTGCCGGTGGTGAAACTTGCCAGCACTTATTGGCGGAATAATGTTACATCGTTTTTATTGCATGAAAAACGAAAGATCAATCTGCTGGTCAGATTTAATAATGAATCATAAACATGTCGCATTGAATAAATTAAATATAAATAAAAAGCTGCATCCCATTTTTTCGCAATCGATACCCCTAAGAACGAACAAATAACAAACGACTTGTTCATCCTCCTTTGTTTTGGGATGGAGTTGTAATTTCATATGGAATTACATGTGAAGTTTAACCTATGAGCATTTTGCGTATCCTGTGCTTATTTAGCATAAAGAACAGTTCCTGTTCCTGTGGTGGGAAAGCAACACATGAAAGTGGCCAGGAACTACAAAAGTTCCAGGTAGAGATGGCCCAGGAACTTGGTCCTGAACTTCATTGGGAAAGCACCTATACTGATAACGTTTATCAGCCGGTAGCAGGTAATCTTATGGGGCAAACTATGTTATGTTTATGTCACTGCGGAAAAAAAACATTTATTTCCTTTGTGTGGTGGACATGATAAAATGCAGCACGGTCATTGTCTCTGCTAATCTTTTCTCTCCATGCCCTTATAAATGGATATCCTATAAGCCTGCTCTGTATGTTATTTATGAATAAAATGAATTAATGAAAATTAAATGCTATTTAATATATCTTATTATCTTTAAAAAATTCAAATGATAGATTATGGCAGAATTTTTACTACCCTGTCTATCAAAATGACAATAAGACAGTCTAATGCAGCTTCTGCTGGTAAGAGACATGTTTCAGCCTCAGAACTGAAACACGCTAGTGGTTTCCTTCTGGTGAACCTGAAACGACAGAGATGATTCCACAGTACTTTGAGGTGAAAATCTCACCCACTTGACCAGCTCTCCTGCCCCCTCCTTCAGCCCAACCCCCCACCCAGGTTGGACTTCCCCCCGGATCTGGAGCGGAGAGAGAACCGCTTGATCAGGCGCCGGGAGAAACTGCTGGACCTTCTGCGTGGTGAGCACCCGCTGCTCGAATCGGCAACATCCTCGTGGGACCGACTGAGACTGGGGTCCTTCTGCCGAGACTTTTTCCGGAGCAGAAGTCTGGTGCTGCTGCGGAGGAACCCCCCTGGAGTCAAAAATCACGAGACATTTTACTCACTGTCAGGATAAATACTACTACCACTGAAATGACACTGCATGACTGAACATGAAAGTGTTATAACTGCAGGGCACCTTTCTGGTCCTTTAGACTGTGTGTCTCCAGTGCCCCTGTGGAACCCATCTCCCATCCAGGGTCATGCACAGAAGGTCGCTTGTCATTGTTGGAGTGTGCAACCTCCCTCATCGTGCCTGGCTCACGTCCTGTGTCCATCGCTGCAAGACTTCCAGCCAATGAGGTGGAGCCATCCTCGTTGATCAGAGCCTGATGGACAGCAGGGTCTAAGTGAACTGTTTCCATTAGTATAACGATTGCATTTCCATTAGTTTGGGCAGAGGACGGTGTACACCACCCCCCCCACACACACACACCTCTCAGTATCCCTTTATCCTCTGAGGTCACCTTTACCTCCTCTCCATAAGACTCCCTTCACCTTTAATGCACAACCATTTTTACTGATGAATTTGTTTACAACACATATGTTCCTGTTAAAAGAATGTTGATTGTATTTAGAGAACTCCCCAGAAGAAAAAGCCCTGACCTTCAGCGTGACCCTCTTGGGAGGTGTCCCCTTTGCTGCTTTGTCAGAAGGCTCCACCAGTGGCTGTACAGCAGCCCCAGCCTTGGAGACCTGCCTGTCAGAGACCTCACTGTCCGCTGGAGACAAAAAGTTAGAGATGCACTTTGAAAAACAAATACATCTATTCCAGGACTGGGCATGGCTGTTGGGTCAGAGAATAAAGTATTTTTATATGACATCACAAGTGGGTATAATGGATATATGATTATGGATGGATGGATGAACAGATGGATGATTAGAAGTATTCAGTTATAGATGGAGACTGTAAAAAGATCCTTGTGACATGATCTATGGGAGTATCCTGTTACTGTCCCAATGTGGAAGGAGGAGTAGCTTACAAGTTTGGATGGGACTGGGTAACCCATGGGTCTCCACAGGGTAACCTGCTGAATTCCCTGCAGGCGGTCTCTCCACCACATTCATCTTTAAGGAGGAGTGACAGTGTGACTCTGTCAAGACAGTGGGAGGTATGTAACAGAGCAAGATCTCATAGGGTGATCAGATTGGGCACTGGCAACAAGACGTCATGCTGTGTTTCTACAGGATCTAACCTAGACGACAATCCACCTGTGGTTGTGCCTGGATTGTTTCCTTCACTGGCCGGCAGTGTGGCCCTACCTGGCACTCCAGAAAGGACAGGCGAGCTGGGATTCAGGTCTCCATGGTGGCTGTTTTCCTCCTCGGACTGTCAAGGTGGAGCATAGAGGAAAGAAGTTCATTGTTTCCAGCCAATACTATAAGCCTACGAGAAGCTCAAGCCTGGGGCCACCTGTGAAACTCACCTTGAGTTCTGGATCACTGGTTCTGAGGCAGAGAATCACGGCAGGCTGGCTGTTGATAATTGTGCTCTTCACTAGCTCACCCACTACGTTTAAGTCAAACTCTCTGCCAACCTGCCAGGCAAGAGAGCTGGTAAAGCAGGGGACATCCTTTTGAATAAAAGCTTGACTGCTAATTGTTTCTCCCTGAGTCATTTCAGAGTGCAGTCCAGCAGAATTACTAATATAGATAGGAGATTAAAAGCAGTAGAAAATAGATCAATGCTGCATGAAGTGACCCTCAATGAATCACACCTTTACCTCTTGCTGGACTTGGCATGGCACCACCGTCAAGTGCAATAGGGGCTGCTGGGAAAAGGTCCATGATGCAAGAAGACCTTCTTTATCCATGTCCTCCAGATGCACTACCATCTGAAGAATAAGAAAATCAATTTAAATCATTAAAATACATAGTACATGTCAAAAGTTTGGACACATTTACCCTTAGAAATGTTTATTTGTACTGTTTTCTACATTTAAGAAAAATAATAAAGACATCATAACAGCTCTGTGGGTTGTGAATCAGAATGTTGCCGGTTCAAATCCCTGGGTCAGCAGAGTGATGTCACCATTGGGTCCTTGAGCAAGGCCCTTAACCCCAATAGCTCCAGGGACTGGCTGACCCTACTGTCTCCTCAGTCTCCTGGCGTCCTTGGACGCTTTTCCAGCTGTCCTAGAGGAGATTCCGCATATGCTGAGCACTCATTGGCCGCTTTTCTATCACGCTCAGGTCAAATTCCTCCAAAACCATCTCTGCTTGTTTAGGTCAGGTGACCAGGTTATGCCATGTGACACTATCACCGTTCTTTGTAGGAGGCTTGGTGTGTCCAAACTTTTCACCGGTACTGTTTGTGTGTGTGTATACAATTGTTTAGAAATTAATGATTCTTTGATTAACATATAGAATTATTATGGATTTCTTATACCTAAAATACAGCAGAGAGTGAATATTATTAAATATACTTCTGTCTATATCATAAACATTAGTAGTATCACCTGTGCCTGCACCGGTGCTATGGTAACCTGGAATGTATCCACAGATACTGTTGCAGGTGACTGCTGGGTGACAGTCACAGGAAATGTTACTGTTTCCACTGTACAGTTGCAGTGCAACACCTATTCAGAAGAAGAAAATTGACAAAAAGTCAGGAGGGGGGTGTTAAAAAGGTAAATATAGTCATGTGGGTCAGGTGAACTGTGGCTATTGTTCAATGTGTGAAGTAAGGCTTAAAATGATAGTTTTCCTTATGTGAACGAGAATCTGCCTGTGCTCCATATTCCGTGATATTCACACTTACCATGCTGTGTGCTGATTGGCCAGCATATGTTATGCAGTCAATGCTAGCAGACGCTGGAAACGGTAGGTTCTCTCCAAAGTTTATTCGCATTGAACTCTAAAAATAAAACAGATGTTGTGTTATCATTCTGAGTTTGGAAATATTTGAAATGTTTAACTATATGCGGAAGCCTTTTTCCACCCAAATAGTGTGTTTGCGGACAAACAGCACACTCTTGCGATTAATAGGTATGTGCTTTCGCTGTTTGTGTGAGTTTGCTTGGCCATTTCTCACTTGGCCACATTTCACCTAAAGCAGCACAACTGGTACGGAGATACAGGTGCAGTAGAATGAAGCAGAAAAGCATACCGTCTATAGCAGACAAATTCTTCGGCATCCACAATAATTTGAACATTTAATATTACATTTAGGCCTTTACTGTTTGAGTATACAGACATTTCGGTGCTTAACGAGTACCCACCCCGGGTCTACAAGCTTGCTTATTGAGTGCTTGAACCCAAGCCTGGCGACAGTTTTCCCTCATGGGTTCGAACGAGAGCAGCGACGACAATAAGCTTTTCAGCCCGTTATAGGCGTCTTCTTCCTGCCATCCGAAACTCAGTTTCAACAAAGAGTCCCATATGGCTGGCGGGAAAATTTTGGGTTTTGAATTTACAGAAAGCGGCGAAGCCATCTTACGAAGAGCCCGTTTGCCCAAACTATGCTGTGCAGCCCAGCCTACGACGGTCAGCAACGAGAAGAAAAAAAGGATCACGAAAAACATGTAACTGATGTACTCAAGTACCGTCACGGCCATGTCGTAGGAAGTATGCAGAAAAACAACTTTCCTTAAATCTGATCTTTAATTTAAACAAAAATCTGATATTTAATTTTCATTACAATATATATATTTAAAAAATGTTGTTCATTGCGGATATTTTGAGAATAAATTAAGTAATGAACCGTTGATGCATCCTCGGCTTTAAAAGGTATAAAAGCTTAGATAGTTTTAAGCGCATCACAAACGGTCATTAGCATTCAAACCATCATGGGCTATAATAAAGTGATTAATCCCTATTACGAGCTTTTCACGTATCTTGTTTTCTTACGTGGTTCAGTTGTTATTATGTAGCATCCCACTGTCCGATATTAATTGATTCTACACACCGAATCATGTTTAATTGATTTCATAAATGATTATAACAAACAGGGCATTTAGATTCAAACAGTAAGCTACAAATTAATCTGAGAGGGAACTGTAGCAATGTTAAAATGGCATTCCTTTGGTCAGCATCACTCGCAACCGCCGTATTCCGCAACACAGCAAGCATAAAACTGGAAGCCTAAGTTCTGATAACTGACATGTATACCGATATCGCAGAAATATTATATGCGAGCCTTTAGATGAGCAAAGTTAATTGCAAATTTGATAAGCTAAATCCGCTAATTACAGTTCCCAAACGAGTTATTTCGCCAGTAGTTTTCAAGGTGGAAAGCTGAATAGCTTATATAAATATATATATATATATACATTTTTAAAATTCTATATTTCACGGACGACCCCTGAGTAGAAGACTTGATTTTCTTCACATTTCTCTAGAAAGACATGATCCTGTTCTTAAACAGTGCTCCTTCGCTGTTTACGGTGATCTCGGTACGGCGGTCGCGTTCACACTCCTTCCAGCACTAGACAGCGCCATAATCGGGAACGCGCAGAAACAGTCAAACCACATAGCTCAGTGCGTGGACAACACATATTTAAAGGGAAAGCACACGATTATTCACAAGAACTCGTCGTCCTGCAATACCACATGTACTATATGTTCATATAACAACACTGTTTTTTTATTTAAATGTTGACTTATTGATTCAAAATTATACAAAGCGGTACATATAGCGGTACATAGTAGCTTTGCTACTGCTCAAGGTCGGGTACAACTGGTGAAGCAAAAAAAAAAAAACTACGGTGAGTTCAGCTTAGAATAATGTAATAATAATATCTCTCGACAGAAACATAATGAAAGCAAAATAAAGTTAAAAAAAGAACAACAATAAATCAGTTTGTTTCCATTAAAACACGAGAAATGAAAAGTCCGCTGTCTTCTTTGAAAATACATTGTTCTTTAATGTAGAGAAGCAGTTCATTACTCATTTTCCCCACTGGACTCTTTCTAAAAGCGTCAAGTATAGCAATCCTACCTGAAAAAGTAAGGCTGATTGTGACTAAATACCTCGAATGGAAGATCGTATCACAGAAGTAAACTGCTTCAAGAATGAAGTGTTACTGTACTTATTTAACAGAGAAAAACTTTGTTAGTGACACATCTGTGCGTGCTTGTATGTGTTTGTGGTGGGGCACGCATGCAGAGCCGCACAGGATTTTTGTGGTTCGGGGCGGAGTCAATAAGACGTCTTCCGCGAGTGTGTCACGAATAAATATGTCCGCATATACCTTACAGATATTAGGACCTCATTTTACCTAATATTTTCAGCTTATAAATTGTGTGTTGTGTAATCAAAGAGAATAGTGTTTAGTTAAGCTGGGGTTTCTGTACTATCTTGTTTGTTTTTTTTTCTCTAAAGGCGAATTAACGTTTTAATATATCCGGAAGTAGACGTGTAGCTGGAGAATTGGTCCTACAGCTCGACCAGGAACAAGAGCAAACCGGAGTTTTTCCAAAGAGATATCATGTTGAGAGAGCATGTTTATTGGATTCTCAAACGGTAGTTATGGGATTCAAAGAGTAGAAATCGTTACACGGCGTTCATTGCATTATTAGGTTAAAAAATTATATAAGATTGTCGTTTTTGCTAACTAGCCTAAACTGCTTAACTGAATTAAAGATCGACCTGTTCATTTCTTGAAATTATTCTCTCGTCTGTCAACTAGCTAATGACGTAGCTAAAATAGTTTCCCAGCTGAGTCTGCTTTATGCTAAAAGTGATAGGTAGTTCATTATTAAATCTGACTGTTATTAAATCTACATCAGAACTGTATTGGTACGCAGTATGTACTGTTTATGTACATAATGCATAATCAAACAGCGATTTAAATGCCATGGGAGGAAAACTATTTGTGTTTGTTGGAAGCATGTAATCTGTATATGTAGGAAACGGTTCGATCCGTTTAGTACTTAGGTAACTACCAGTTAGACCAAGCACCTTTTCTTGTTTTCAGTCGTTCTTCAACAAAGTAGGTTTTTTCGTTTGAAATAAAAATGTCCCAGTTGCCAGTGCTCCCGCTTCTGATCAACCTCTGCTTGTCTGTGCTGGGATGTTTGGCCACAGTAAAGCTCATTCCAGCTTTCAAAGAGCATTTCATTACGGCCAGATTGTTTGGCATGGACCTGAATAAAACCAAGAAAACGGAGATGTGAGTGAGCCTCTGCTTTAGTGACTTTTCAGTTGTCCTTGCCATGGTAAAACGTTTTTACTACTAATATACTACTTGTTGAGTTAAGAAAATCTATTGGACTGAAATGAAGCATATGATATTAAGAGTACTTTAAATATAGGTACAGTATTGTGTCCCTTTAGTTTCCTAGGGCAGGAAACATGCTTTTAGCAATTAATGGGACTAGTTCTCTCTCATCTCTTAGTCCTGAATCTCAAGGAGTCATTAGTGGAACGGTGTTCCTCATCATCCTCTTCTGCTTCATCCCGGTGCCCTTTCTCAGCTGTTTCATGGGGGAGCAGTGTAAGGCTTTCCCTCACGATGAGGTAAGGAGTAATCTCTCTATTTTTTCCTTTTTTTGGGGGGAAAAATCAAGTTTTCCTTGTCTGTTGAACAATGGAAACAGCTTATTAGGGGTCCCTTGTTCATGGGGAGAAATTCTTGTCCTCTACAAACATGGTGCTTGCTGATATTTACATTTTTGATTCGTTTTAGTCATATAATGAAAGCATTGTGATACCATGTTATTTCATCTTGGCAAGGCCTAGTGAATTAGCCTACCTTCAGTCTGCACAGTTGTGGAGTGTAAGCTCTCAGGCTTTGATAGTATTGGATGATGTGTCCCGTTGACTGCATTGACCTTTGTGTGGCAGTTTGTTCAGTTGATTGGTGCCCTGCTAGCGATCTGCTGCATGATCTTCCTGGGTTTTGCTGATGATGTGCTGAACCTCCGCTGGCGCCACAAGCTGCTCCTGCCCACGGTGGCCTCATTGCCCTTGCTCATGGTCTACTTCACCAACTTTGGCAACACTCTCATTGTGGTGCCCAAGCCCTTCCGTGCTCTGCTGGGCATGCACCTTGACCTGGGTGGGTTCATCATGCCAGACCAGTTGCTTGTTGTGCTCAGAGCAACTGACTTGGTGGTTAGACATGGACATGGAGCCTGAGGGTTGCTGGCTCAAGTGCCAGGAGAGAGCTCTTGTAGGAGTACCTTAGAGTAATGTACTGTACCTTGTAGGAATACCCAACAGTAATGTACTGCTAATTGTGACAGTTACTTTGTAGATAATGATGATAAAAATATTTTAGGAACTGATATTTTAGTAACTAATTTAGTCCACCGATGCAATTTCAACATGTGAAAAACTGCAGTTTAGTCATTTCGTGGATTTAAATTATGTTGAACCAGGTATTTGTTGTTAATATACCTAATTCTAGATGCACCGCATTCCTTTTCTCTGTGGTTCCTCAGGGATCCTGTACTATGTCTACATGGGGATGTTGGCTGTGTTCTGTACCAATGCCATCAACATACTGGCTGGCATCAACGGCATAGAGTCTGGGCAAGCTCTCTTCATCTCAGGCTCCATCATAGTCTTCAACATGCTGGAGTTGAATGGTGAGAGGCATGGATTCCCAGATGGGTCAACAGGTGGTACTATGGTAAAGGAACTGGATGAGCGAAATCTTTTTTGCTGAATTTCAAAGAGAGCTTCGGGGGGTTGCACATTGGCCTTTGACTCATTGTCAATCGAATTCTGAATGTAAAATGTCAGCATATTTGTGCTTTTATACATCAAATTAAACTGACTGATGATCCTAATACTTTCTGTTTACATTGAGTCTGTTCCAGTTGTGTTTGCCATGGGTTTTGTAGCTGAATTAATTTCTACCTGGTACAGGCGACTTCAGAGACGACCACATTTTCTCCCTTTACTTCATGATCCCCTTCTTCTTCACCACATTGGCTCTCTTCTACCACAACTGGTTTGTTTGATCTTTCCTAGATCTTAAATGATTTGTCATGGCATGTTGGCCACAGGTTTTAAAAGACTTGTTTTTTGGAGTATCAGATATGGATAACCCTCTGTCTTGGCTCCAGGTACCCATCAGCAGTGTTTGTGGGCGACACCTTCTGCTATTTTGCTGGGATGACCTTTGCTGTGGTTGGAATACTGGGCCACTTCAGCAAGACTATGCTGCTCTTCTTCATACCTCAAGTGCTAAACTTCCTGTACTCGCTGCCCCAGCTCTTCCACCTGGTTCCCTGCCCACGACATCGTCTGCCCAGGTAAGCCGGGGTCGCCCTTATATGATGGTGGGTCTTTTCTTGGCCAGATGCCTGTGAGACAGAGGATTGAAGCAAAGTGTTTTTCACTCTGTTTGGGCTGCTGAGTGAAGACTAAATCCTGAAACAGGAAAACTGGGCATGAGCTACTCCAAGTTTAAGAAGAAGGACCTCGGCAAATTAGGAGACCTCATTCTAAAGGTAAACTGTGTTTATGGGCAGGTTGGCAGCCCTGGCCTCTCTAATTAACCATCTTTAATGGGTCTCTCTGGGTGCCTTGGGGAGATCTGCCCCACAATTTAAGGAAGAAATATTTCTGCTTTATTCTTACTTACACATTCATGTACATTACACATTACATTACATTACATTACATTACACATTCACAGGGCAGCGTGTGGCTCAGTGGGCTAAGCCGTGTGCCTGTAATCACAAGGTCACCCGTTCAATCCCAGCCTCAGCACGTCTGCGGGTCCTTGAGCAAGACCCTCAACCCCAGCTCCCTGGGTGCCGCTACAGGTGGCTGCCCTTCACGGACAGCTTGCTCTACAAAGAGCAAGTTGAGGGAGGCGTAAAAAAAGAATTTCCCCACGGGAGTTAATAATGTGTAAATTATTAAAAATATATATATATATTAAAATCATATCTCTATTCTGTTTTTAGTGTTTTTTTATTTTACTGCAGTTTGCTTTTTTCCCAGTAGGTGGCAGAGACATTAAGGCTTGTAGATGTGCAGCAAGGGCTAGAGGGAGATGGAGAGTTTGTACAATGCAACAACATGACTATCATCAACCTGGTGCTGAAGGTTCTGGGACCCATGCATGAAAGAACCCTGACGAGCGTAATGCTGCTCATACAGGTGCTGTCGTATGACGTCACATTTATTCGTCCTGGGATCTTGCTTGTGGCATGGCCGTCTGATTAACCCCCGCTTCTCTGCAGGTGCTTGGGAGCGCTGTGGCTTTTGGGATTCGTTATCACCTGGTACGTCTCTTCTACGACGTGTAGACGCCATGGGTGGAATTCTGAGAGGGACACCACAACATCCTCTCTGGAATTTAGGTTTTATTAAATTTGGTATCTGCCTTTTTAGTTTTTAAGAATGTACTGAATTGAAATCGTAACTTTTTTTCTTTTGTTTATTCTTGTTCTGACTTTGAATGTGAAGGAGCCTCAAAATTATGATAATTTTGAATAATATATGCAAAACGGCATTTAAAATGCCTACAGACAGATTAAATGAAAAAGGTTAAAGTAAATGCATTAGATTGTGTTAATTAATGGACACAAAATGCGTATATACTCTATAACCAAGAAGCAGAAACAGTTGAATTCAAGGGAATTTCAAATCATGCTCAAGAAAAGAAGAGTAGGTAGAGCAGTAACTGTAGGCCTCCATCCAAGGGTTCTCTGAAGCTTTATTACATGAACCATTATGTTAGATTATATGACAGGTGTCCTCGCGGATGGTTCTCTTGATGTCATCCATGTTGGTTTTCATATAGCAGACTAGAACTTGCTCTGATCCTGAAAATCTAAAGTTCTGTTTTACCCCAAACTCTTAAAGAAAGTATAGGTGTGACTACTGGCCTTATGCTGGAATCATGACCAAACAATATGAGAGGTGGCTTCACCCTCCATGAAGCTTTTCACCTCTTAATTACTTCACCTGATCTCTAGATGCTAAAACTAAGTCAAATAAATGATGTGATGAAAAGTTGTGCTTCTTCAGTGGGTTTTTGTCTGGACTGTTCACAAGAGAATTTGTTCATATTGCACATGTGTGCCGGTCACTGAACTGAATAATGACATCATGAAGATAATTAGTTTTTTTTCTTTTTGATGGAATTTGTTTATTTCACGGCAGTGGCAGCCCCAAGGGCCGAGCTTTCATCTGCTGCAGAATCTCCCCCAAGCCTCATCCTTCTCCAAACTGCTGAACATCTTCACCACTGGTCATATATAAAGACGGCGTGGTCATCTGGTTTTGTGATGTAGCAAGCGAATCCTGGAAATGGGGGCACAACACAACCAATAGTTTCTGGATACCATTGCAAGTTGGATGCTAATAATAATAATAATAATGACACTTTACTGATCCCTGTGGGTAAATTCTCTTTTCGCCTGAACTACACACAAACTCACATGTAGGTGAGAGAAAACTTAGCAGTGAAGGGCAGCTACTTGCAGTGGCCTCCTCGGATTAACAAATTGGTAAATCTTCATACTTGTAATTTCAGGATCAGGTCAGACTACAAAGTAACTTTTCTTTCCATCAGTTTATGTCAGATTAGGATCAATGATGTATTTCTGTATATGTAGTTACTCCATCCTCACTCACCATTTTTGGGTTTGAAGACCCTTCCATTGGGACGCTCAACCCAAAGCCTCCAGTAGATGTTGTGTTCAGGTTCAGCTAAGACACCATTGATGCTTCTCAGGAAAGGAGCATAATCATCACTCTCTAATACCTCATACCTACGGAGACATGGGGTTAGCTTGGACCAAAAGGCGAAATTAGTTTCATTTAAGCTAAAATTCTATATTTACAGGAATCATTTTGTCTTGACCTGAAGTCATGATCATGACCACTCAGTCGTCTCATGGCACCCCGGAGTATTCCCTTATCGGCGACTTCCACAAAGAAAGTCTTATTGGGCGCATGTGAGATTCGGTTGAAAATGGTTATACTGATTGAGTATGCCAATTCTGAAAATCCAACACAAATCGCAAAGGTAAGTCTCACAGTCTGCAACACCCTACTATAAATTTATTTTTCTTTTGCAGTTAAATCATCCAAAAAACAAGTTGTAGAATATTACAGTAAAAATAAGTAATATTCTCACCTGTTATTGCACCACCTGCTTCAACATGCGGGACCAGAAATAGGGCGGCCAGAGTTATCACAGAGACCACAGTCATCCCTGCCAAGGCCATTCTGCCTGCCGTGTTGGTCTGCGGCTCCCTGTCGTCACCTGTCCTCTATTTATACCATCGCTGTCACCATGGCTGCCAGGTGAACGTTTCTCAGTTGAGGTGATTTTTTGGCTAAAGACTTCACTGTTGTAAGGCAGGGTGGGGTGAGGTCATGTGAAAAGCCATATCATTCATGTGATGTTAATTTGTAGTAATATAAATGTCTTCTTTGTTTTACAGAATCAGCTACCCTTTGTGCAGCGGCCACCCCAGATTTTTTTTTGGGGGGGGAATGAAGACTGTCAGAAACTTTTACAAAGTGCATGAAATAAGCTATTTTTAAACTAATAAGACACTTCTGATCTGTATAAGTTGCTTTATTTCCCCAATACATTTTACCCTCTTTTTTAATATACAGCACAACTGTGAGAAATGCAGCTTCAAAACAAAAGTTTTCCACAGTTTCCATGTCAGCTACAAAATAGCCTAAATATCTTCATATCTAAGGCTTTTGAAATCATTGTGTCCCATTGAAAACCCAATGCTGGCTATTTTCTTCTGTGTTGGTATCTGATCATGGCACGTCTTCTACAAAAACATGGAAGGGTTTGTGAAAATTGCCTGACATACAAGTCTTAGTGCCCATGTTCATCCCTGTCCACTGTCAAAAGTGCCTGCAATAGGCATGAGAGTGTCAGAACTGCTCCTCGGATCAATGGAGGAAGATTGCCTGCTCCCATTTCTTGTTGCATCATGTGGACAATTGTGTATGTGTCAGGCACCTGTGGAATGTGTTGGAACCACATGTCCAAGCAGGGCTCAATGTGCTGAGTCACAACACATGACTCCTGTGACCATCATTAAAATTATGTGCCATTTGTGCCTATGTAGCCCTTCTGATGGTTTATACCAGACAGGATTGCCTTTATTCACTCAATCAGTCTTGACGTTGTGGAGATGCTCTGAGTCAGTCACGATTTGGCCCGTGCCAAAGTCACTCATACTTTCATCCCTGCCCCTTTCTTCTGCATTCGACGCATTGACTGCAAGTACATAAATGTTGTCGTATTGTCTCTTATATCCCAGATATTTGCCATTTTTACAAAAAATTATTCACTCGATATGTGGGTGGTCATAAGTTTAGATCAATAGTCTAAAGAGATGAGTATCCAGTCTATGTTATAAGAGTCCTATATCATGGAGAAGGATGGCTAACATTGACAGGAAGGAAAGAGTTGGGCCACAGGAAATGACACGGTAGGGAAATGTAGAAGATGGTCTTGATGTTTAGGTCCCGGGGAGATACACTATATTACCAAAAGTATTGGGACACCTGCCTTTACACACACATCACAGCTTTAATGACATCCCATTCTTGAGGCTTTAATATGGAGTTGGCCCACCCTGTGCAGCTATAACAGCTTCATCTGTTCTAGGAAGGCTGTCCACAAGGAGCATGTTTATGGGAATTTTTGACCATTCTTCCAGGAGAGCATTTGTGAGGTCAGGCACTGATGTTGGATGAGAAGGCCTGGCTTGCAGTCTCCGCTCTAATTCATCCCAAAGATGTTCTATCGGGTTGAGGTCAGGGTTCTGTGCAGGCCAGTCAAGTTCCTCCACACCAGACTCGCTCATCCATGTCCTTATGGACCTTGCTTTGTGCAGTGATGCGCAGTCATGTTGGAACACAAAGGGGCCATCCCCAAACTGTTCCCACAAAGTTGGGAGCATGAAATTGTCCAAAAGGGCTTTGAATGCTGCAGCATTAAGAGTTAATTTCACTGGAACTAAGAGGCCAAGCCCAACCCCTGAAAAACGACCCCACACCATAATCCCCCCCTCCACCAAACTTTACACTTGAGTACCATTCTCCTGTCAACCACCCAACCCAGACTTGTCCATCAGAATTGCCAGATAGAGAAGCATGATTTGTCACTCCAGAGAACACATCTCCACTGCTCTCAAGTCCAGTGGCGGGTTGCTTTACACCACTGCGTCCAAGGCTTTTCATTGCACTTGGTGATATAAGGCTTGGATGCAGCTGCTTGACCATGGAAACCCATTCCATGAAGTTCTCTATGCACGGTTCTTAAGCTAATCTGAAGGCCACTTGAAGTCTGAAGGTCTGTAGATATTGACTCTGCAGACAGTTGGCAGCTTCTGTGCCTCAGCATGCGTTGTCTCTTTGATTTTACGTAGCCTACTGTTGTTCCCATTTGCTTCCAATTTGTTATAATACCACTAACAGTTGACTGGAATATTTAGTAGTGAGGAAATTTCATCCTTTCATGGTAGCACGCTTTAATTCACTGAGTTCCTGAGAGTGACCCATTCTTTCGCAAATATTTGTAGAAGCAGCCTGCATGCCTAGGTGCTTGATTTTATACACCTGTGGCTGTGGAAGTGATGGGAACACCTGAATTCAATGGTTTGGAGGGGTGTCCCAATACTTTTGGCAGTATAGTGTATATTGTGTTTACCTGTTGTTTTCAATTTCTCCCTTGTCTCAAGCCTTTAAATTACGAGTTTCAAAACGTTTTGCCACAACTGGCTGAAATTTTCAGTAAAGTTGTCATGTGATCCGTGTGAGCACTGATTAATGGAAAAGTTAATGGTTTCACTACGTAGTGAAACTATTTGCAGAAAAGATATTAGTTTATTGCTCATAATTTGAGACTCATCTAATGCCTTAAATACCAAGTTTCAAAATGTTTTGTCACTTCTGGCTGTAATTTGCAGTACAGCTGTCATGTGATCCGTGTGAGCATTGCCTAATTGACAGGTTAATTGTTTCACTACGTAGCGAAACTATTAGCAGAGCAGATATTAATTTACCAAGTGTTTGTGCCATGTAAAAAGATATGGAGAAACTGAGATTTAACCTGCTTTCTTGACAAAAAAAAACATGGTCATCTGTAGATCATGAAGATTTATTAGGTGTTCCCGGGTTAAGAACATCTGACTTATGGACAGCTTGTACTTGTGAACGGACTGCAATAATGCCTGTTGTATAAAAAATTTGAGTTAAATACAATGGTTCGTAATAACGAACACACATGCTACTTTGTGACACTCATGAAAACACTGCAGCTTCTGCGATTTGTTAGCTTGTGGTACAGTACAGTACTATATGTAGTTAAGTTTATTATTATTATTGTTATTATTATTATTATACAAATTCAACTTAAAGACAGACTTAGGGAACAAATCTTGTTCATCACCTGGGGACTGCCTGTATTTAAAAACATACCAAAATGTAACCCATTGGGAGAGTAGTTATCCGAATTACCAAGTACTTGTGTGTAGAGAAATGAAGAACTGGAGTGTTAAATGTAGCAGAATGTAAACTGGGCTATTACTTGCTCACATACTTGCAACACCCAGTGGCCGAAATTGTATGATTTTAATCTACAGCCTTGGGTTTATTGTTCATGCTTTTATTTGCAGTCCATTTAATGAATAAAAGCATTTGAAACATAAGCCCTAAAATCTGTTTTTTCATTTCATTGGATATGGTCCTGATAGCTTATGCTATGTCACATGATATGTAATGTAGGCCTATACATTACAATATAACTTGTATTCAAATACTACTGTTAACAGTTTTCTAGGTGAGGATGGCGTTCCGAGTGACATCATGGAGGCGCGGAGTCCATGGCAGATTCAGGCAGTTCAGTACTTTACAGAAATATTTTCCAAATTTGAGCTTGTAGACTGGAGGCAGTAGCGAAGCTTTTTGCCAGGATGGGGGTGGGGGGGTGGGTGGTTTTGTGTTAGCAAATGTTGTTTCTGCTTTTATTTTATCCTCCCTTAAAAAGTGGGTTTTAGAAAGGCTTTTGAAAATCACATATGTATTTGCCTGAATTGGGGTGAATCCCACTTTGTTAAATAGCGTTTGGATTTGATGTAACATTATTGTGTGTAGGGTTGTAAGTGCTTCTTTGGCTGAGCATTAAATTGTCTGAAAGAAGAGTACTTCCGGGGTTGCTTCATTAGGTTTATGTTTTTTTTACGAATCACAATAAAATTCTTCCTTTTTATGCTGGATCTCGTGCTTTCTGATTCAGCGCCCTGTATGACGGCCCCTGAACCTTCCCTCTTTTTTCGTGCTGCCCTTTCCTTTGCTGTGTGCTGCAGGTGGGAGTAATCGCGAGTATCAGTGATGGGTAACACCGGTGTGCACGTGTGGTATCGTTTGGGACCCCGCCTCTTTCCTGGATCATGTCCATTAAATGCATTCAAGAGTTCTGACCAGTGAGAGCTCAATAACGAGATGATAGTAAGGCACTTATGCAATTGTTAGTTGCATCGAATCCAAAATATTATCCATTTCTAGTAGAAATGCTTGTAGAATAGGTGGGGTGCCTGGTGTTTCCGCTTATGAATGAAAAAAATAACCACATGTTGCAAGATGTTATTTGGGTCAATAAAGTAACAAGCTTATATCTATTAATGTAAAGGTATAAGAGCAAAAATGAAAAATGTGTTCAGCCAGGTCTGACCAAAATGATTGTACCACATTACAAATGAAAAACAAATGGGAAATGGTATCTTAAGATTGATTACATTAAGTCCAGAGATCTGTGACATCAACGACCTGGCAACAAAGTGGTTAACTGGGTAAATGCAGTGTAATATTTTTAATGGATTGACCTGGTCTTATTTGAGATCACATTTTTGTAAGTAACCATGCTTTTTTCCATATCATCTATAATTGATCCCCAATAGAACTTCCCTCTTGGTACAACTTTAGTTTGATTGTCAAGAAATTCCCTGATAAAATTATTATAATTTTATCAAGTAAGTTGATCCCATCTAAGAATAGTTTATTGTGTAAACTTAAAATGCCACTATAACTGAGATGAGATTTAGATGCTTTATATAAGTAGGGATTTGCTTTAATAACTGAATTAAAATCTCTAAAAGGAATAGGGAAATCAAACTTATTTATAAATTGAGCATATGAGAATAAGTTAGCAGAGTCATCAAATACGGTAATTCATTCAAATTGGACTAAAAATTGATCTGTGATGAATTGTAATGTTCACTTTATTCCAGAGTAAGGCTTTATGGGGTTAAAAGTTGTGGATGTAACACATCATCCAGGAGTACAGCACTTGCTGATGAAATGGCAATATTGGCAGCTTCTCTGACAAAAAATTACAGGACAATAGAAAGCACAAACGACCAATTTTCTTTAAAATGTTAGCAGGAATACAGTACAATTCTATAGAGAGTTAGGGTTAGACAATCACTTTTTAAGCCAGTTTATCTTAAACATGAAATGAATGTTAGTTGTAATGTTGTAAGTCCAACACCTCCAGGCCACCTTCAGCTTTTTATTTGAAAGCACAGATTGTTTGACCTTCTGTGATTTGTGTTTACAAATGAAATTGTAAATAATTGTATTAATTTCTTTACAAATCTTGATATCAACAAGCAAAGACAAAGAGGGATTGTTACGCACCGGGCTTCAAGCACACCACCAAAAGCAGTCAACTCACCACAGGGGACACTGGGGCTGACATAAAATAATTACTTTAACTTTATTAATCTTACGTTGTGGTGCGTTTTAAATATCTCAATCTGACTCGTACACCCGTAACAATACATCAGCCATCTCTCCGGAGGTAGGTACTGCCAAAACTTAAACCTGCACATAAAACAAAGAATAAAAATAAAGACAATACTCCTCCTAGCTTCCTCTCTGAACAAAAACACAATAACATTCAATCAACAATAATCCCTCATAACAGGGATATATAAAATGAGAAAGTCTTTCTGCCTTGGATAAAAGGACCGTACCTTGGTGAGAGAGATACCTTTCGATCCAGATATTACAAATGCAAAAAGCTCTATTTAACCTCGGGGAGAAATGTAAA